AGGAAATGTGGAAGCTCGGGATCATTTGCGTGCTCTTAATGTAATATACCTACCATCCCTGAAACATACGTTTCCGCTTTATATGTGTGTTTATTGGCTATTGACCGACTGTAAATGAATGCCATGTCAGTTTCTTTGAAGATTTGATGGAGGTCATTTATTAACACTGTTTTACCTCATTGAACATTTATTACCCTGTTTTTGTTGGTCTTATAAAAGTACCTTAACTTAAGCCCTGTTTCCGGCGGAGTAAAATGGGCTCGCTCCCTCATCCCTGGGATGTCGTAAAAGGCAACTGAGGGACAAATATGCGAACATTACCTAGGCCTTCTGCCCAGCACAGGGAGTGTGGGCCGAATTCTGCATTCGTCTCTGGTTAATTAGTGAGGGTGCTCCTGCAACGAAGAATGACTTGGTGCTGAGCTACCTAAAATTAATAAGTATAAAAAAAACATAATTTATGGAAAATAATTAAAAAGGGCTGCAACTATTGAAAAAATAAATTGTTACTTTAAACTAGTTTGTCCCGACAGACGTTGTCCTTCCTGCCTTAAGAATTAATATGGCCATTAAAGTTCTTCATTTTCTTTAATTTTTCGGGCAACTTTCTTATTTTTTCTTATATAAGAACCTAGGCTTCTCCTGACAATAAGGAACACAACAAAAAATAATTACATACTAAGATAAATCGGTCCAGCCGTTCACGCATGATGATGATGCGATGACCAAGGGAAATAGAGATTCATTTTCTACTACTTTTAGATATTTTGTGGTTTAGATCATAATTACACATCTATAATGTGGGATTACCCACGCGGTAGCGGATAACGTCACGCCCCGTTATTAACGGATCCATTTGCTAAATTACTAATTCAATACCGCGAATACCACAATTAATTTTTCATAGTGGACGACGAGACAGGCCGAGGCAAAATTAATTGGAAATTTCAGCGGTGCAACAATGGAGAGCCCGACCGAAGTCAACCTATGTATCCACTTTAATCAATCACAGCCCGCAAAATGTTTACCTACCCGTTAAGTACAAAGTTTTATTCTTTAGCTTTGTCCTTTTAAGATTTTCGTGACACGAAATGTCTATAAATAACTGTGATTTTCTTTGAAGTTATGAAAGGTGCCTTACAGCTGAAAATGTCTAAAAACATTTACATTTTATTTGAAGGCATTTCAATTTTCATTATTGTTACTCAAAAAAAGTAAATCAATGCAAATGAACAGTACTTATTAAGCAGCGGATAAAAAAAGCAATTTGTTTCAGATAACCAAGAAGGTTATTTGAAATAAAAGTGGGAGTACCATCTCTAACCAGAAATCTCAACAATACCTACTTAAAAAAATTAAATATGTCTTGTATTTTTCAGTATACCTATGTACTGGAAAGTGAAGAATACTGTCGAACAAATACCAAAGAGTTTCCTATACGGATAGATTGGACACTTGAACAGTGATTGATTGCGTACCTATAGGAGTGAGAAGTGTGAGGAGAGAATTTAGATTAACTGGAATTATTGTACTGGAACTCTTTGTAAAGTTTCTAAGGTATAGTTTTGTTATAAATAGTGTAGCTTTTTTATATTCTTGTATAAACTCTTGTTCTTGTTCTTGTAGAAATTATAAATTCCGATACAGAAGTTGCAACCACATTTGAGACATTCTTCTCCAATATTGCGTCTGAAACAACTAAAGAACTGAATTCATCACCAGTTCTTGCAGTCTCTTTTAAAATCCAATGTCACCGAGTGCCAGTGTCTGCTCCAGTTCAGGCATATAGATTGTAATACAATAATTAAAACCTTTAGAGAATTAAATATGAAAAAAACTGAGGACCTTTGGGGAATCTCCGTCAGTATAATTGGAACAATTATTAACACCATANAAACAAATGTTTTCACGCTACATTCGTTTCCACATATGTCTGAAATGCGAACGCGTAGTCAACGTATCACGAAGTTATGCCAAAGCTTGGTGTACGTTTGTCTTAACTACTTTGTGTAGGTATGCGGCTACTAAGCAGCAAACTCCCAAGGCTATCAGGAGTTCCAGATTTGGAACAATTAAGGGCCGCCGAGTGCTAATTGCATTGCCCAACTGATGGGCCCAAGTTTGTTTACACAGATTGATTAATGAAAGTCCAACGCTAAGAGGCACGAAGTCCGCACTTTCAGCTCGCTGCAATCGTCGTCCATAAAACCCGACCCAGTTATTTCAAGTTGTATTAAGTAAAAATAACTTACGAATGTTACAAACAACTTGTTTGTTGTGTAATAACGTTGGAAAATTTTCTGAGTGGTTTATTAATTGATATAGACAACGTAACATTCGTGACAGAACTCAATTCGTAAAGCTCTTTATTATAATGCATAAACTGTTTTGTAAGCACGAGTAACTTCAGGATAATTGACGTAGCGAAAACATCACGATTTTGAACAGAAATTGTTGTTTTAGGACTTAGTAGATTTCTTTTCAATTTACTTTTAGAAGAAATAAACTACCTAACAACATTTTAATGACTTAGGCTGGGTTGCACCATCCCACCTTAACTTTGACAAACGTCAAAAATTTGTCAAATTCCATACAAAAAACACCGGTTATCGTTATAGTTACGGTCAAAGTTAGGTGGTGCAACTCAGCCTTAATGCGAGTTCATTAATCAATACTATTAATTAATATTAATGTAGGTACTCACATTACGTTAGACATCATGTACTTAGCAGTGTCTAATGGAGAAAACAACATTAGTCACATATCTTATCATAGTAACAATAATAGAGCCTAATTTGGCTCTTGCTCGTCGTATATTTACTAAGCAAACATTATAGGAAACTTACCAGGCAAAGCCTTTGTATTTACTGATATATTTACAAGTAAGTATTAGCATTATATGTTTAACAAAGTTATATGCTTTGTTATTTAATAGGTGACTACCTACTGTTTTTTTCGATAGGATGAATCTTCTAACAAAGAAAAATCGAAAACATTTGCGGAATGAAATATTTTCATTTTATACAGGACGAATACTGCACTAAAATAAAATGCACTTTATGACATTTCCCCGGCGTGGTTCATTTACTTTTATTGTATTTTGTCCGGCGTTTCAAGTTAAAGCTGTGGTTTGTAACATTCTTCGGGATAAAGTATTTTCATATGTTGAGATTGGAAAAGATTTTTTTTTAAGATAGTTATTGAAAACTTCTAAAGCCTACTAAGTATATCGGAAATTGGGGAGTTTAAATAGGTTGTAGTTGTTTTTTATTTGTTTATAAGCAATTTACAGAAATCTTTTGTTCTGGTACCGTGCAGGGATTTAAATCTTGCTTTTTTTAAATGGTAAGTATGAACTAAGTAGGAGAAGAAATGATTCTGTTCTCAAATTTTTTTCGACCAAGTTTACACAGTGTGGTTAATAGGTATGAAAGCTTTAAAAATTTGCAGACGCCGAAGAATTAGCAAAGACGCTAAAGCTTTATAGTAAAGCTTAATTAACCCATAGCTTAGTAGCCGAGCACTAACGTCCCGGGCTTGTACCACAGCTTGTACTTGTAAAATTACATTTTAACGGCCAGTTGCTTCGGAATTAATTACTGTTAAAAATGTTCTTCGAAATTTCAACGTTACGTGATTAGAAATTTTAATAAAGCGAAACAAAAGCAAGCCGACCTCGGTCATCCAATGGTTCTCCCCAACCTTAATTAGGGCGATCGCCTATTGGGCAGTTCGTCTCATGCTGCGTTAGCCAATGTACGAACGACAGCACTTCAAGGTAAACACAGTAGGTAGCGTCTAATCCCGTTGTAATACAGGCTATTTTTCAACAAATGTGCTGTCGACCATTTTCATTTGAGAATCTTTATTCATGGATTGCCGATTTATACACAACGTGCTCTGCTCATGGATGCTTTAGACTGCCAACTCTCCGAGTTACCATGCCTACTTTCTTCTGCGGATTTTATGCTGATTTCATCTCTTATAGAACAAGTTTTAGTTTTAGCTACGGTAGAGACAAATATGTAGTTTGTAGGACAACAGAGTTTGGATTAGATTAAGATTAATAGAGATCGCTTGTTAACACCAAAATTAGGTTAATGTATCTTTTACTAGAACCGCAAAAAGCGGGCAATCAATATTTACTGTTTAATGAAGCAATATGTGGGTACCAACGTTATCAAAATGCAACTACCTAGAGTAGTTTAATGGAACAAGGTCAAATGAAATATTCAATGTTTTTGGTCAACGAATGCTCTTAAAACTAGATCTCTTAGTTTGGTATGTCTATTTCTATGGGTTTATCTTTTTATTTCGTATCACACATAAACATACTACATAAACTTTCTCTGGATCTTATTAGATGTTTTTGTTCAAACATAATAGCCACAGATGTTCCTTTGTTTTCTGGTGCTAGGTAGCTCGTTTTTATTTCGGTAGACAAAGATAAAGAGGATAAGGGCGATAATGTACCACTGAATTTTTGTGGAGAGTCCTCAAGAGTCCGGATACACGCGCGATGTGCCCCGGGGCGGAAAGCCGTATTATCCTGCACCTATAGGTATTTGAGTAGCTATTTGTTTACCGACGGTAACGAACGACCTACGGGCCTCCTCTTTATGGCTTTTACACGTGCTACTGATTTTTTATGTACTGTTCATTGCTCATTTAATGCTTATTCAGCAAGATATTTTGAAAAAGAGCCTGTTGCTCTGTAAATATTTAAACCAATCCAAGCAGGCACAGTTTTGCTGATTTTAATATGAAAGATTAACATGTTACAACAAGTACTGTATCTAATGCTGTACCTTCTACATAACGAGTTAAATACTCGATGGCCTGTGTCTTTCCCCTCACTGTTCAATAGCGAAGGTATTAAGTTTTATCTAAACAGTAGTAAGAACTTATTCAAATTAAACAACAAAATTTAACATACCTGCTACATTACGTCATCGTTGAATATCTTAAGCCTTAACTATATTATTTTTTACTTGTTTCAGGAATGGGCAATAAATTGGACTGTCACCTGGACTGACGTGGACGAGCGCCAAGAGCGCGAAGTGAAAATGTCGGGCAACGGGAGCGACCTCTCCGGCCTCGACGTGGCGTACTGCGTGCCGGGCGGCCAGGTGTTCCAGAGCATGTACACGCAAGTGCACGGCTACATCGCACTCGTCATCTGCCTCCTGGGCTCCGCCGCCAACTCCGTCAACATCGCCGTCCTCAGCCGCAAGGAAATGGCCTCCTCCACCAACACAATCCTCACAGGACTCGCTGTCGCAGACCTCCTAGTCATGCTTGACTACATACCATTCGCACTTCACCTATACACGGGAATCAGCTCAGAATACAACAAAAACTCATACGGGTGGGCCGTCTTCGTCTACTTCCATTCCATATTCAGCCAAACCTTCCACACTATTTCCATCTGGCTGACCATCACTCTCGCCATTTGGAGGTACATCGCGATAAAATTCCCCCAAAAGAACAGGACGTTGTGCAATCAAAAGAACACTAACATAGCAATAGGTGTGGCTTATGCCGTGTGTCCAATACTGTGTCTTCCCATTTACTTTGCTATGAACATCCAAGAGTTGAAATTGAATGCGAATGTGAATGAAACTATGAGTGATTTAGATGTAGTGAACTCTACCTCGAGTGGAGACAGTGAGCGTGCATACGCTATACAAATGACTGATAACAAAGATTTGTTGACTGCTATATTCTGGATTTACAGTGTATTTATTAAACTTATACCGTGTGTAGTGTTATCCATTTTAAGCGTGTTATTGATATTGAAAATGAAGTCAAGTGATAGAAGAAGACAAAAGCTTCTGAAGAAATCAGCCATCACAACCAATGAGGTATGTATTGGAATAATTATTCCACTCCATAGCTTTTATTTATGTTATTTCTATCCAAGAAATTCAATCACATTCAGCAAATTCCTTATTTTCTGTAGAGTGCAGATTAAAAGCTCTCTAGAGTCTAGATGCAGCGTTTTGAAGAGAGCGCTATTGGCACTGAGTCATTAATTATTTATTCGGAGCTAAATTAAATACTGCCGGCAGAAAATGCTGTTCGAAGCAGACAGTCCCATTGAAAATAATGCAATAAAACTATAAAGTGTACTCGCTAGATTTTTAAAAGTACCTACCTACCTATAAATACCTAATTGCATGTAATGTTTATGAAAAAAATGTTCGAACACTCCAACGTACAAATGACACACGAGTCGTGTATAAAATTTTGGATTTCATCGATAAGTTATCATGAAAACCATAAATCTCTCACTATCTTTTGGGGAAGGCGTTCGAATTTGTAATTTTCTTTTACTACCGAAGCCCTTAGGCTTAAAAAACCCTTAAGGATTCTTAAAGGGGTTTTGATTAAGTGGGGTTTTAATATTTCCCGTAAAATATTGTTTTGCTACGAAAGCTCGTGGAACTTCTCCAAATAATATTGTTGTAATAAAATTACACTTCGGTGTACCTTTACTGATTGAATGAATTAAACATCTGAATTCGCAAACCTACTTACATAAGTATTGTATCTTCTAACTATAGTAGAAGTCTTACAACTCAATTTGTAACACTAGCATCTTCACAAAATTAGATGACCTAGGAAAGGTCAGTCAATTTACAAAAACAACGATTGTATTCTTGGAAAGTTACCGTGAACTAAAATGCTATCATCGCAATTCTACTTCAAATATAAATAATAGTATACTTAAGTAGTCTTGCAGATCCAAAAGAGAAAGGTTTGTTTATGTTTTTCAAATTGCACAGTGTTGAAAATTCCTGTCTTGTCAAATCCTGTCTAAAATGTATCTATTGACAGAAACGAGTGGCGTCGTATAGATAGGCGACTATCCTCAAATGCAACAAAATAGATGAATTACCGTTTTACACAGGGAGAGAAAACCCGGTTGAACGAGGACGGTGGCAAGCGAGGCGGCGGCGGGCGCACTGACCGGACCACGAGGATGCTGGTGGCTCTACTAGGGCTGTTCCTTGCTACGGAACTGCCTCAGGCCCTCTTCGGGTTGCTCACAGCCATCGCACCTCACTTGTTCCAGATCTGTTACTATGCTTTTGGTGAGTATTTTAGTTCCTTTTTTCTACAGTCTTCTTCTAGGCTTTGAATTATTTATCTTTCTTGGCACCTGATATGAATAAATCATGTTTATTTAAAGCTTGCTATGTCCCAACCAAACGGTAGTGTCTAGAACAAATACACATAATTTATATCGTGCTTCCCAATGGGATGCTAACCTAGAATTACCGAAATGAGTCTCACACGTAAGCCTAGGCGCAGACCATCGACTTTTAGTTGTCCGATAGTTGGGCCCGATTCTAATTTGTATAAAGAATCGGTCGATACCAAATCGGTGTAATGTGCGTACCTTCATACATCTCCATACTGATCCAACTATCGGCCAACTAAAAATCGGTGGTCTGCGCCAAGGCTAATGTGACCACTACCGTCTACCTCTACCGTCTGGTCTACGGAGGCATTTAAATAATATGAATTTTAATCCGTAAGCGCGTTTCACGTTGTTGGCCTGAATGTAATACGTAATAACCAAAACTTGGGTCCTTGATTCGAAATTTCTAGAACAGTACTATCTAGTCTAGGGATTTGGAATTTGATCTAATACGTAGAATTAAGGATGACAACCTAGATTAATCAAAGATCTGGAATAAATCAGAAGAATTTGATCAGAATGTCAATTTTGATTTTAATAATCTCATATTTTTAAACTTGGGTTTCAGTGGGTTAATTTAAATCATTTCAAGTCAAGTCGATTCTTTTCAACTATGGCAATTGATCACTGATAATACCAATCCTTATTAATTTTTATACATAATATTGAAAGTTCATCTAAGGGCTTAACAGAGGATAAAGTTCCATGGAAATAATCATATAATAAAATTAAAATGCTGTCAGCTGTCACCGAGATGTTGCCTTTGGGAAGTATCGTTTCTGCCACTTCATAAAGTTTTTTTCTGATATAATATTTCCCGGGAACCAGCATGAAGTTCCACTGTACATTATTTCTGTGTGCAAAAGTTTAAACAAATAAATAACTGTATAAATTAGATACAGCTACAAATACTTTTGTTTTTGTTGTGTAATCTATTTAACGAAGTCTAGCTTTGACGATTAAGCCCACAGATTTTCAGAGAATATCACGAAAGTTTTAACATTAAATAACACTGCTATCAGTAATTATTTTAACGAAGTATTTTGATAACATTTGTTTGTGTTGGTCTAACGAGCGTATTTTATTACTCATTAATAAATATGAAATACAAAATGTTGAACCACATTTGTTAGTAATGAGTAGGAAAATTTTGGAATATGGTGAAAACTCCCATGTAGGGTTTAATCAGGTTGTTGTTCAGTGGCCATATAAATCTCGCTTAGTTCATTATCCGCGGCTTCTTTAATATACGCATGACAATGATGCATATTCTAATTAAATGAGGAATTTATGGCTTTTATAAACTTGGTGTAATGAATATTGTGAAATACGATACTTACGTATTTTCGCAGAAATTAAATGGTAGTGCCATTGCATTGCCAAAAACAAATAAACGTGTTTACGTAAACATCTTTTGTTGGTAAGTTTTATAAGTGGTGAAATATCATAAACTTTATTCTGTCGCAGTCGTTTATAAGTATTGAATAAAATATTATTAAATTAAATATTTGACTCTACATATACTTAGTTGTGGGGCATCGTCGAAATTTTAAGCATATTGGAACATTCAGTTTGCTAGTCACTTTTTGTTTATTTCCTATGTTCCTAATTAAGAATATAGGTATTTCAAATACATACTTACATAATCGCATTATTTCGTGATTTAGGTATACCTAATTAAATATATCCGAATCATGTCTAGTCCTCGCGAATTTTCTTGTGAATCCCTTAATTTCTCGTTCCCTCCCACCTTAACCTGAACACGCGCACTTCGGATAATTAACAGCCAACCGTTGTTAATCTTAACCCTGCGTGCGGCAGCAAATTATTTGTTATTTCTTTCCCTGCTTTGTTAATACGGTGTAATTCCTTAAAGTTGTATCAGACAATTTTCTACAAAGGAAGTTATTGTGAAAAATTTGCTTTTGATTAACAAGGGCTTAATTTTAATAAGCTTATTAAAATCGGTTTGCCTAAGGTGGGAATCGAACCCACAACCTTGGCCCACGACCCTATGCTTGCTGGGCGACTGATCTAGAGATGTAAATTTTAACGCATTTTTTAAATGAAAGTGGATTTACTTTAATTTTCATCACTATCATCTGTTACTATCTCTCTCATCATATTACTAAGAAACTATCGAGTAAAATTTTGCATCTGCATCAAATAAAAAAAAACATTGTCATGAAAAAATCACCTAAATAATTAACTTTTCAAAGATTTCGCTCAAAAGCTATAGATATTCATATAGCTTTTAGTACCTCATAAGTAAGCCGAGAAACTTTAATGAAATGCAAGTCATTAGGAATAAAAACATTGTGCGAATTATTAGAACAAAACGTTGTCCAATGGGCGGGAGCGTATCTACAATTACTTTCGGCAAAAATGACCCAAATTAGGGACAATAGCGAAGTGTTTTGGAAACGGGAAAACGTGGTGGCCACTCGGAGAGTTTCGTTTCACAACCTCTGACCTTCCACCTAAGTGCCAGATTGTGGTAATGTCTGTTATTACATTTAGTACTTGATGTGATTGAAGTTCACAATATATCTCAGTAATAGCTAAATATACCATATTAAGAGCAAAATGACGATTTATAAGAACTATTTAGTCTAAACAAATAAAGAAATTTTGACTTTGACTTTACCATTTAGGCTTTAACATGAAAACCCTTTTGAAAGGCACTAACAAAGGTGGATAAGTGTGAAAGGACACGGCACAATTGTTTCCGCGATCACTTATCATTAAGGATATCCTAACGGGACTTTCAAAAGGCCATACTGGAAAGCCGCCTGTGATAAAAAACTCAATAAAACACATTTATTTCTGTAAATAGGCTTAAAAAAAGCACTTTTACATAAGATGCCTACACGTATATGAATAGGTATAATAAAATTAGGGTATGATACGTGTTGGGATGTTGAGGTAAAAGCTCTAGATTAGGGTCGACTCATGTTGACCATAGACTCAATCTATTGAGATCAAGCATTGTAGACTATTCAACATTTATTATTATTTTTTAAATTGATTACCAACATGACATACAGTAACAAACACTACAAAAAAGAAACAAAAATGGGCCTTTCTGGTACGTATACTTATAGGGTCAACATTATATTGCTGTATAAAAAGTTGTGTGGTTAGACCCTTTATTATTCATCATTTTGATGCAAAACATTCTACTAACTAGTTTTGTAATATTCGAGTATTAGCAGTAAGTATTCGATCGATAGGGCAATTGTTGGCAGAGCCGGTGACCGTAAGTGACACATAGTTTTGTACGCGCGCCCTCGAGGGAATGGTATAACTTTTAATGGTTACCTCGGGCAACAAACTATTCATTGTACCGGCGTATGAAACTATACTCTGTTGAAAATGTTTGATATTTGGACTATTAATACTCCTTCACTTTTAATAAACCCCTGGGATATTAATTCCAAAAGGCTGACACAATACCTATATTGGTTTTCTGGTCGGATCGATTAATAAATAAGTAAAGTCTTATCCAAAATAGATAAATACGAGTAACTACTGCAGTTAGTGCAAATAATTTCACCCATATTTCTGCAGTTTGCTCAACGGAACCCCAGAGAGAGAGTTCTTATGTTATATGTTTCTTTTAACATAATGGGAATGAGAGCAAAAAATACATCCCCATGACACTTTGTTGGCGTAGAATGCCTTTTTCTGTATCTGTTTCATAACAAGCGTGCTTTACGCTTTTGCTACGTGTAGAGAGTGCCTCTTTCGTGGAAAGGGCTCTGCTAAGTCATCAATGACATGTGCCAAACACACTATACTTAATACGTCAAGTATTTGAGTGTTAAGTCAAAATTGAGCTAAACATTTGTAATCTCACGTCATCCATCAAGTGATTCAAGGGTTGGGTTAGACGTAGGTTTGGAAGTGATGCCGTTTTAAACAAACAAGTCATATTTAGAAGTAGATATGTTCATTCTCTAATGAGTATAAGTTCATTAATGTCTAATTTGTGAATAAGTACTAAAATACTGTTAAATGCTACAGAGCGTATAAAATGTGACTAATAATTCATGCCTATTAATATTATTACGTGTTTTAAACATTCCGCAACGAAACGATCAAACAAGCCTTTACGGTTATTTCATACTGTATTCATTTGCATTGAAAAGCATAAAATATGAATCCGCTGCTTGGTTTTTACGAGAAACTTTATAGGTGCACTGCGCGGGTGGTGCCAGTAAAATAAAATGTCCCTCTAAAAGCAAATATGAATGAATTCAGTTTGTAACCATTTGATTCTAAACTGATTTTTATGACTTACTCGTAACTTTTTTACACTAATATTTTAAAGATTTGGAATTTTTTTTCATCATTAGAATTCTTAGGCTAGCCTGTGACCTATGGATAGATTTATAAATTCTGTAGAGCGAAATTAACGCGGGCGAAGCCGCGGGCAAATTCTAGTAGTAAATAAAACTACAAACATGAAAAAGTTTACGACTAAAAATAATAGCAAAAGCGTTTAACAATAACTAAGATTTATAGGCACGAGACGTCTTGATTGACTAGAAAGCAATTAATCGTGAATGTTGAGACTCATCTTCGAAATTACGGGCACAGTCAGTAGTCCTTAACATCTACTTCAAATGTCAATCTTAGTTTGATTTTGTGTAAACTCATTTCTGCTGCTTTATGTAATAAATAAGCATATCAAAAAGTTATTTTATGATCTTAGAGTCGAGTTTATAATACTATGCGATGTCTAGCGCTTGGTAACGTGTAGGTCCCTTCACTCGTCGACCGTCGCGCCGCCCTTGCCCTTGTTCCACAGGACTGCTCTGATCTTTCTGATTCATACATAATCTAGTTTTAGACGTTCTAGTTTTGAGATAATATTGACATCATCAC